GGAGGAAACGGAAGGCAAACATTAATCTTAGCTAGGGCTACTGTGGTATGTTCTTCAGGAGATGACACTCATGGCTTGGGGTCTGACAGAGTGGAATGCTCCCTTCGTCCCAATTTACATGGCGACCTTGCATTTCATGATTGAAAATTGACCATCAATTTGAAAAATAATATGTGAGTCACATGTCATAAAAATTGTACCACTGGAAACATTTGGAGTATGAATTGAATGATAATTTTTGTGACATATAACTCATGTTTTTATCGACCAAATTGAAGGTCAAAGTTAAACCTTGAAATATGTGGACACCGTGTAAATAGGGAAGGAAGAAATACAATAATTTTGAATAGTGCTACCATATGCACTTGGCCCATGGTTATGTCTTATCTGAGCCAGATTCACGTGAACCACATAAAGGAATATGAATCATCTCTCGTCATTTATTCCTGTCAACTGTCTCTCTCAATACCATCGCCGGGAGGGGCCTGGCATGTGTGACCACCTTTGCAGCCCTAAGGGACTAAACCTAAATCCCTCTCCCGAAGCCTAGCCTCCCTTAGTCCATCATCCCCGCATAGCTGCCCGGTGCCACCCTCTCTCTTCCCCATATTGACCACATGACCCGTCGCCGCCGCCAATTGCCACTTCACCAGCAGCCGTTTGCTAGCCCGATCCTACTGGCCCGCCCTATATCTCTCCTATTCGGCTATTCCCCATGGTCGCTCGCTGCCCCGCTCCTCCGGGCCGTGCACACTAGAACGCTGGCACTGTCCCGACCTCGCCTCTGGTTGGTACTAGTAGTCATTGGTCACAACACCTCCCTAAGCTACCTATCCCTGTGTCGTGGCGCCTTCCCAATCTCTCCTGTCATCCAGTGACCACGCAACCACCGTCGTACAATGTTGTTGCATCAACAACTCAGAAAGGGCAGGAATCCTCTGCGGGTATCGCGGACGAGGAAAAGCTTGCCCTGTGAGTGGGGATAGGGACGAGTAGTGGGCGGGGGCGGGGAATACACGACAATACCTGGTCGGGTTTCTCACTGTTAGTTTGAAGTCAATTAAATTTTATGAGTTTGTCGCCATTCCCAAGATCACTGTAGTCATGGTCCATGGAATCACAATAATGATGTGGGCTGCCTAGAGGACAACCCAGAAGATTCTAGACTACCGGAGGGCCATGGGCAGAGTGTAAGGATTAGTGCTCATGGTCACGCTCACACACACCACCTAGTGCGCTTGCACTGTAATTTCTTTGTTTCTATAACCAGCTTGTGAACTTTTATATCGATCCAGGTTTGTTCCCGCAAAACTATTGTGTTGTAATGTTAACCTGGTAGCTCTAGCAAATGACATCTTGTAGTTTGATACTCCACTAAGTTAAGATATCGTTCGAAAGCCTTATTGCTAAACTTATTAAATTAATATACATGTAGGGGGGATGTATCTTCCATTGCAAAAAAAGTGGCGGGTTGCCAAAGTAATGCCACAAATTCTCACTAGAAAAGAATAGTACCATCCACATAATTTGGTGGACTCTAACTAGGATTGAATCACCATCATATATATGTTCTAATTTTGTGGCACACAATCGAGACATTAAATCCAGGAATCGAAGGATAAGAAAGAATGTAAAACTAAAAAAATATAAAAGGACAAGGAAGAATCTAAAATTAAAAATATATAAACCCAACGTAGTCAAAATAAATGACCTAGTAAAGTATAAAAATGAAGTTATCAATGCTAATAATAAATGAAAAATTTGGAGATGGATATATGAAATCATTAACATAAATGAAAAGTCAAAGTGTAGGGACTAATCTAAACCATACCAGAGTACAATTTATGAAAGCGTGTTCTCGTCTATAAATAGAGTAAAAAAACATAATGGTAAAAATGAACCAGCTATACAACGGTACAAGAGAAATGGTGTCTATAGGTACTAACCAAAGCGGATCCTGGAATCCGAAGAAAGGACATCCCCAAAAGGTAGTTGATGCACCTTTGACCATCGTGCCTTGAATTAATGTATCCAAGTGCATTCCATTGCCGGATTAGACGATTGCTGTCCATGACAAAGCCCTTGGAGAAGGCTGCCAAGTACGTGAAACACATTCTGAATTCTTTCTTCATGCAGTAATAGCTCAGCATTAGACTCTCTAATGTTTCCTGCTGATGTTCTTCTTGAAAATCCAAAACAACCTTGGTGTCCCTTATATGTTCCCATGCCCCCACGGTCCTTAGCTCTGACATTACTTGCCCAAGAGCATTTGCCACGAGCGGTAATCCTCCACACTTGGCTGCAATCTGCTTTCCAATTTCTTCCAAGCCAGTATGGTCATCATCAGGCCTAAATGCCCTTTGCTTCATTAATTCCCAACAGTCACCAGGTTCTAAAACATCCAACTCTATTATTTCAGACTCTGGAACTGGGCAAATTTTCCTCTCATTTGCAAGAAAACCAGTGCGTAATTGTTGCACTACGCGTAGGTTTCGGGTGGTTACTATAACACGGCTGCCCTTTCGGCCATGCTGTAACATCTCCTTGAGCCTTTCAAGATTATTTCCATCTTCTTCCCAGAGATTATCCAGAACAATCAAGTATCTTCTAGTAGCAAGTTCTTTTTTCAGACGATGAAACTGCAAATCACAGTTGTCAAGGTTGATAGTGTCATCCATCATTCTTTTCAGGATGACACTCCCAATTTTGTGCAAATCAAACTGCATGGACACATTAACCCATATTGAGATGTCAAAGACACTGACCCTCTTGTCTGCAAGAACTGATTCAGCCAATGTTGTCTTGCCTATGCCACCAAGGCCGACAACTGGAATGATGGAGATATCCTGGTTAGCTTCTTCACTTGTGAGTAGCAGGCTGATTATCTTCTCCTTGTCGATACCCCTGCCCACCATTCCAGTTTTCATGCCAGCAACATTCCAGTTGGCTGCAAGTGTTTCATTGTTTCTGCTCCCTTCTCCCCTTGCTTCCTGCGGCACAAGACTGAGCCTCGTTCTGCCCTCCTTTTCAATTGCGTCTATTTTTTCCATCACCTTCTTCATCTTGTGGGGCATGGTCATTCGCTGCAGGAGTTGATTGTTTCTGGAAAACCATAAGCTGACCTGCAAAGATAAAAGAGTTTAAGTTAATAACTTCAGTCTCTAAGCACATCTTTTTTCGGATTCTCATCTGCCTGGCTGATTGAGAAGGACGCATGTTGGTTACAAAAGAAGGGATATGTAAAGATGGGCTATGGCATAATCAGATCAAAGAAGCTACACTTACGGGCAGCACACAGGCAAATTAACTTACGGACTAGCTCCTAACCAATCCCTTCGCCCCCTGATTTACACAAAGACATTTGCTCCAACCACAATAAACGCAGAATGGATTTATTCACACAAAAAAAAGGAACGCAGAATGGATCCCTATCTTTTTAGATTAGATGAAGAAGAATAAACATCTCAGATATCCCATTAAATTAGCAGGAAAATACTGAGTAGTCTCTGGAGGCCTCTGCACAGACCGCAGCTCACCGCCGAGACGAATGCCGAAAGATGGCTTCTTCTCCTGAAACCGATACTGTGTTGCCCCGTGCTTGCTGGCCACCGCTGTGGAGGGATTGACATCTCAGCCGTTCGTTGAGACGACTCGCTCGCTGTTGGTCGTTGGATAATTCCATGGTGCAGCCCTAACAGCGAGACAAACCTACAATACGGAAGCCGCAAGAGGGGCGTACGGCCAGCGACGAGGAGAGGGAAAGTAGAGTTACCTTGGGTTGGCTCTTCTTGATGAGCTCGTTGGCTTCCAACTCATCCAGCACGTCCTCCACATCATAGGCCACACGCTTAAACTTGGTAAGCCACCGCTCGTACACTCTTCCGTCTTCTCGTCCTCCTCGACGCGACCTCTCGTCGGCATCACCCAGCACGGCCTCCACATCTTTCATCTTCTCCCCCAACTTCAACACGTCGTCTTTGTACCTCCACTGCAGAGTGACCTCTGACACGACGTAGCTGCCCAGCTCGCCGCCAAGCTTGCCGCCCAGCTTGTCGAGGACCTGCTTCCCCACAGCAGCCGCAATCACGCTCATGGCGATGGCGATGGGAATATTGCTCCTGTGCTGTGCTTGTGAATTCTCTGTGGGGTTAGAATCAGATTAGGCAGGCCTTTGATTGCTGTGTGAGCATTGGGCTCAAAACAAGAGACAAGGAGGCCTTTCTGCTTTGCTTTGCCTGGGCATCGAAATTAGGATGCTGATGATGGAACCAAAGTTGCAACAAGCCACGCTTTTCAAAAAGCATAATGGATGGAGTGGGCATCTTTCTTTTCTTCAGTCCAGAGACATTCTAGAATGTGTGTGCACTGGCCGGTGCGCATCTGAACATGTAAACTAACTGCCACTTGCCATGCTTGACGAATATACTAATAAATCGTTGTGAGGTGCTTATTGCTTAAAGTAGTGAGGTGCCGAACCACTTTATTTCATTTGTTGGTGATGCAGAACATGAAGCGGATTGCAGAAATTTTGGAGAGCCCTTTGCAAACACTAACAGCAGAACGAAATAGTTGGGTTTCTGAATTGCTGAAACTGTAATAGCCCAATCTGTCTATGAACGAACATTAACTGCTTGAAGGATGTGACTGAAGTTTCAAGGGGACATATTCAGAACAGATGTGTACCTGTGACACTGAGAAAAGAGAGCAGATGTTGATCCCCACTAAATATGCTCGTTCCCAGACCCTTTAAAAAGTCACCTCCTGCTGCAGATGATGAATTTCGTAGCACGCAATTCCAACTGAATTAACAGCAGAGGCAAGAGTTTATGAAAGAAACGAGCACATGATAATTGATCCTTTTCTTGGGGCAAGCTGCATTGTGTGAGCATTGATTGGGTTGAAGAGAGAGACAATGAATCCCTTTTGATTTTGTTTGCTTGGGCCAGGGCATTCAAATTAAAATATTGATGATAGATTGGAGTGGGCATCTTTCTTTTCTTCGGTCCAACTCCAAAGACATTCTATCTATGCGTGTCTGCCCATGAGATGAGATACATAAAGTGCCACTGGATATGTTAACTAAATGGTTAAAGGAAAGCAGTGCCCCCTTCACAATCATGCTAATTTCTTAAAGCAGTTGTCGAACCATTATAGTATTTCATTTTCGACGCAGAAGATGAAGCAGGCTGTTGAAATTTAAGAGCGCTTGGGACTACAAGAAGCCCTCTGCAAACACAAAGAGCAGAATGTGACGACAAATAGTTGGATCTCTTCCCTCCTCAGCTGAAAGCCTGAAATGGTAAGAATCAGAAGCCAACCCGATCAGTGTATAACGACGTTAACATCGAAAGACATCGCTGCTTGAAGGCTGACTGAGGGTGCAAGAAGATGTATTGAGAACAGACGCGTAGCGTAGATGACCATACAAAGAAAGTAAATAACAAATTTACTGCTTGATATCCCCGACATGTTATATCCCCATTTAACATGCTTATTCCCGGATCTTTTGAAAAGTCGCGAATTAATCTCGTCCTCCTGTTGCAGCTGATGAACTTCGTATTTCGTAGCAGATCCATCCATCTGAAAGAAACAAATCACTGGGAGGCAACAAGTAGTTAGAACATGGAAGATTTAGTGCACATAGAACATGGAAACTATAGAACACAACATACATAAAAAGGACAGAAGAAGCAGGAAGAGGCCCCAAAGCTGTCTCCATAGCTTCCTTTCCACACTGGCCGGCGGTTCATCGAGCACCTCACAGAGCCCAGATCCAGGCCGCCGCCGCCGCTGCGCAGCAGCTCTGTCCGCCGAGTAAGAGTTTTCCTGTTTGTCGAGCGACTTTTTTTTTCCTTTTCTTTCGAGGAAAAATAAATAACGTGACTCATATGTAGGAATATACTAATCTTTATGTGTTTTCTTAGATCAGCTCGTCCACGCACGACACTAGAGTGAAGCATAGTAGCTTCGTTCTTGCATAGAAAATGCTTACGAGTATATTTATGCCGCGAGTATTAATTCACCCTTCTTACAGAATTTGTACACGTTGGATGAGATATACTACCTTCCTCCTGGTTTATTGGTTCTCATTGTATTTCGTGCCAAATTTTGAACATAGATTTAACTAATAAAATATTCATGCATGTTAGCAAAAATTATATCATTGAAAATTAGGTTCAAAAACAAATCCAACGATATAATTTTTGTTGACATGCATTAACATTTTATTAATTAAATATTTGGTCAAAAATTGGCGCAAATTACAAAAGAGACCAATAAACGAGGACAAAGATAGTATCTCTTAGTTTGGGTAATGCTTCCATTATCTTCTATATCTGCATTACTCATCTAACTTGGAAAGGATGCTGGTCTACCATGCTAGGCCGAACGATGTGGTAAATGTCATACGTTTTGATTGGATGGCGTTAGCTCGTCCGTCCAATTGTGTTGCACATCTATGATTTCAACCAGAGTCGATGATAGATGGGTCTCGTTAACTGTTAGGTCGTGTGGGGTCGAGTAAACGAGATGGGTTTTTCCCTGGTTTGGGTGCAATTGGATTATGTGGATGAGTAAAAACCCTAGCCTCCACACGTACACAGTAAAAAAATCCCCACTCTCCTCCGCCCCGCCGCCTCCCGTCTGTTCCTGGGAGCTCGCCCGCTCACCTTCCACCATCCTTGCAGCGGCAGGGGAAGATGGAGAGGATTGAAGGATCTTGCGCACCCCTCGCATGTTGTCATTCTTCGAGCATTGTCATCGCACTTCGTAGCTTCGAAAAGGTGAGCTCTTCTCCTCTCCTTTTCTCCTCCCCCAACTTTCTTCTCTTCCTCCCTGCTCCTCCTCCAATCTCTCTCACCAAGGATTCAAGCATGAGACTTGCACACGTAAGATTCACAAGGCATGCGACCAACTATGATTTGGTGGTGCACGTGGTGTGCCCTAGCCTGAAAAATATATGTTCGATCTGCACAGTGATAGCATGCGCCTGCTGCAGCCATGTGGTTCTTGAGTGTATGTTGCTTGCTAAAAAAATTATAGTGGTTTGACTTGGTTTTCATGGTGGTACTTTCCCCTGTTGTATCCTTTTTTATTTGCTAGCTTTGATGCTTTGATTTGTTGTCTTGGCTAACAGGAGGAGGAGGGAGAGAGGGAGGGCAAAGAAGTAGGAGGAAGATAGATTCTTAGCGCACGGATGTTCCATGTAAATTGGTATATTTATCTCCCTGTTTCCAGAAACCCCTCCATACGAAAATTTGCAATGCCGCTTGATTATTTGGTATGTTGTTAATATAGTGGTATGGTTAGGTTGAAATAGTGGTGGCAGGGTGTGTGTGCAAGTTTACCGGTTAGTGAGGGATAATATCCATATGCATGTTGTTTGTTTGGTGTAGGAAGTGTTCAGCAATGGACATCTCTTACTTTGAATTGAAGTGTTGGTCTTGCTACCGAGTTAAATATGGAATCATGTAGGTATTCTTATGCCCCAATCCTTCATTAAGCGCAAGTAAATTTGCATGATGTGTCTTTTACTTGCAGATGTATCCCACTAAGGTGCACCATGCACAACCACTCTGAGAAGGTGATGGCCTTGCCGTCGTGGGCTTTGCTTCTTTTCTTTCCATGTTCAAGTGCTAATTATTAATTGCCTATTGGAGTTGATCGTTGATTGGGCCACAGGCAGAGGAGCGGAATTGGAGAACATGGTGACGACCTTGGTTGCCGCTGTGAGCTTTTCTTTTCTCTTCTTGCCCTTTTCAATAGCTAATTATTAATTTCTTGTTGGGTTTGATCATTGATTGGGCCACAGCGGCAGAGGAGCAGGATCGGCAAGAAGATTTCCAGAGCCTGATACCCAATTCCAACAAGGTCATGATCTTTTTCTTTCTTTCGTTGTCCCTGAATTCGGGGTCGCCGAGTTCGTGTTTGTGATGAATTAATGGGCTATGTTTGTGTTGGATTGCGGGATTACATGCTAACAAGTAATTGATGAACCAATATATGATCTAATGTGGACTGGATCGGCAAGGGAATTGTGAAGCTGCATATTCAGTTCTTTGTGAGGTGCTTACTTGCTTCAACTTATACGAGTATGAAGGTTCCATTGTCTGTATTTCGTAGATTGTATATATGTAGAAGCTCCTCCGCGAGCGGCAGGCAATCATTGGACAAGGTTGTCGTGGCCCTCCGGTACCGTTCCACCGCTGGAGGGACCACGACGTCGACGATGACAACCATGATGACGGCAATGACGGCGACGGCGGCGCGGCAGGGCAGGGCGGCCACACATACGAGGTGGTCGTCCGGTATAGGTTTTAGATTTTTTTTTCATAGTTTTTTTGTTATACGGTTGAAATATCGACCTTTTTATGTAAATTATAACCGGACTTGAATGAAATCCGCCATGTTTGAATAAATTTCGTCCGGTTAGTTTGAATTGTTGGCCAAATGTATACGGGCAGCATTGGATGGCTCTCCCCCATATTCATGTATGTGGATTGGCCCCCTCTTGTCCACGGACAAATGCGGGAGAAAATTTGCGCGTCGCCTAGTCCCCAAACATGGCTCTCCAAACTCATATGCTACTTGACGATGTATGAGCAATGCTTGCTATACTCTTGTCCTAGTTCCCATCGGTATTGATCGATCCACGCCGTTTGAATCTCCGTGAATGGACATATATGTATGCTATAATATTGGCCTAATTTCATCAGTGTAGATAACAAGAGCTCTTGGTTACTTAGGACACTTCATTTATTATTCGCACGGTTGAGAGCTAGCTTGAGTGTGTACTTATATTTATTTTGATTTTTGATTTTTAGTGTACTTATTTAACTACTCCTACATCATAAATATTCAAAATAGCTATATGACATTTATTTATGAAACATATCTGTATTTATTTTATTTTATAGTGTTTCGACCGTTGAATATAAAAGGAAATGCCTTCTTTTTAACTTGTGCCTGACTAGCCATATTCTTCTCTCCCTCCTTTCACCCCCTCCCTCATTTTCCCTCTGAACCGACCATCAAGTGCTCCTATTTGATGCCTGAGACCGTCTAATAGGTGACCCAACGCCTGAAGCCAGGTGCAAATGGGCCCGCCCACGCTGCATGCTCATTTGAGCTGGTTTAGTTTTTTTTTCTCTGCAGTTTTAAAGGCGTTTTTTTAATAAACAATTTTAGGATTTTCGAAAGACCTAAAATATTTTAAAATCAATATATACATATATATTAGAAAAAAATGTATTTAATTTAAAAGTGCAGTCTATATTTAAAAAGTTCACTGTACATTATAAAAAAGTTCATGGTACGTTAAAAAAGTTAACTGTATTTATAAAAGGTTCACTATACTTAATAAAATCTTGAGTTTGTATATAGAAATTTTTCACTGTATATTGGAAAAAATTCAGCATATAATAAAAAATATTCACCTTACATTGAAACAATATAAATTGAAAACCAGAAAAACCCAGCGGAAACAAACTCAAAATAAAGAAACTGAGAGATGAGATATAAAAATGAAAATAAAAAATAAAAAGGGAATGAAAATTAAATCAAAAAATAGAAAACCAAAAAAAATAAAAGAAAAACAGAAGAAAAAAACAGCACTAGACTGGCCGATTGCGTCTCAGCCGGTAGGTTGTGTGGTTGGAGGCTCCACCCAGGTTTGTGGGCCAAATAGGGATTGTGGATCTATTGGACATCCGTTGGTGATTTTTGATGAACGAAATGTGCATTTCTATGTCTGTTTATGTTCGTTTGATGATCTACATAGTTTTATTCATTTTGCATGCTTTAGTATGGATATAAAGTATCGGATATGAGATACATATATGTGAATGCCACGATTTAAGGAGCGCCTGGTCAGTGCCCACAGATGCATCCGCGGGTGTTTGAGGAGCGGGATTTGGTGGCCGCGCATGTAGATGCTCTTAAGCCTACACTGTTTTTTTTTTTTTTGCGGGGATACCTACACTGTTTCTAATATGAAAGGCACGAGTTTTGTGTTATATACTCTCTTGATATATACCTACACTGATCTATCAAAATCTTTTGAGCAACATTCCACGGTGTAGTATGTACAAAAACCGGGTGGCGTTGGTGTGGGAAGGAGGGACCAGCAAGCAAGCTGCTCGTTCGTACGTACACCGGCACTGCCGACTAAAATTAAACATTTTACAGTAGATTATGTTTTGTTCTTGTTCCCCGGGAAACCTATGCATGTGACCAACTATGTACGTAAGCATAGGCATGCAACAAAATATTTAGGAGATCCAGAAAGCAATGTCTTCCTGCGTAGTACGTGTACACTGACTTTGCATATGCATGTGTATGGTCCCGGCCGGTTGACCACACCACACGGCCGGTATTATTTGTAAAAATCAGGGGAGAGAGATACTACTATACGGCCGGTATGAATCATGTGACACCATTCATTCCGATTCAAATTCAATTAGACGGCAGCAAGATTTGTCCATATATTTTCACACCGGCCGCCGGTCTCGATCACACTACTGCTGCTGCACAACTACGGCCCTTCACTGTGCTTGTTCCCCGGGAAACCCATGCACGTGAGCAGCATCCAGTGAATTTCAGCCATTGGGTAAGACTACAGAAATTCTACTCCCACCTACTTCCTCCGTCCGGAAATACTTGTCCTAAAAATGATTGTATCTAGACTTATTTTAGTTATAGATACATTCATTTTCAACCATTTCTAAGACAAGTATTTTCGGACGGAGGGAGTATTAGTTATACAGAAACTTGACGTACTGTGTGAGGAAGAATAACCACACAAATTAACCATCGACATATCGATCTAATAATGTGTAAGATTTTGTTAAATTGTTACTCCCCATTCCATACCTGTGACATAATCAATCCCCTACTAATCACATAAATTGTTTCTTCATTTCCTAGTTCTTTGGGTGTACTTGTGACACCTGGGTGTGGGGGCGCAATCACACTTTTCTGAGGGCATCCTGGGCCGCACGATTGCGTCACGATTCGGAAACCTGTTTGGCCTTTGCATATGTTTTAGTCCTTAATTAATTTAGATGGGTTCCATGCATGCCACATTTGGCATATGCCACGCATCTCACCTCCCATGTTTTTCTTTTAACTTTTGAATTTGAATCTATTATATCTTTTGAAACAAAAGTGCAATTTCTGCTTGTTTTGCATATCCATGTTCCTTGCGACGAGAGCTTTGAAACAAGAACAACCTTGAATAAGCTTTGACAAAATTTCAGAATTTCAGCAAGTCACAACTATTAAAACTTGATAACCATAAACCCTAAGCAGGAAATGAAACATGGTAAAACTTGGTAGGAGTATGTACTCCCAACATCTACAATTCTACATGTCACGGATGGGTTAAGAAGAGATAACTAAGACTAGTGAGATTGCGTGAAAAAAGGAATAATGGTAGGAGAATAAGGAATGGTACTGTCGACGATGATGCATGCATGATTGTTTTTGCATGTAGCTGCATGCATGGCCTTGTCTGGGCCTCTCTTCGAGTCTGTCTGTCTCTCCGAGGAAGAAGCTAATCTAGGGACTGTGGAGCGCAGCGCACATACGTTGACACCTCGACTGGTCCAGCTAGACACGTACGCCCATGCAACGCCGCGGAACAAAGCAGTTGAAGTAAAGTGTCAAATACTAGGAGAATTACTATGCATTGCACGCAAGGTAATTCAGCTAATTTGGCGCCATGTATATATATGACCTGACACATTAATTCACGCATCAAATTCAGATCCAATTGAAAATTTGTCCACATTCACAACCCTGCGGGCAGTAGTACCCCCTGCATGTACGTGGTACGGTGGTCACTGCACCCTGCCTGTATGCTGTATGGCATGCATGCATGTACATGCAGATGCGGATCCGGTGCATGATGCTGATGAATGAACTAATTTACATAGGAACACTACTATATGACATATATAGGGTTTGAGAGAAACCACATGATGTATTAGCTTCAAGTTAATTTTTTGGGTTTTAAATTATAACTACACAGGAAAATTTGAAAGATTCCCGTAAAGCGCAAGTAATTTAGTGACCGGCCAATCTGGTTAAATTTCATACGAAATAGACATAGGGTTAACGTCTTGGTTTTAACTTCAAATCCTGTGTCCCAACTCAAACCGCATTGACAAAATTGAATTTTATCGCAGTAGACTAGCAATCATTCAGTGTAAAATGTCAACTAACATCAAATTACAAGGAGAGTGAAGAGAGATGACGTGACATAGAAAAAGAAAACATGAATGTGACGTGAGTGACACTGCTGATTAGGAAAAAAAGTGAGAGCCAAAACTGGTAAAATGAAAAATAAAAATAGTTGCAAAGTGAAAGTTGGAAAGTGAAGACAAGTACAAAAATCATGGGAAGTAGTATTTTGGTTTCTCTCACTAGATAGTCATGGCATGCATGGGGTGTGTTATCTCTTGCAGTAACTAGCTAACACTTAAGCCCAACACTAACATACAATACAATGCATACATACGTTCAGTAACACGACAACATACTAATTGACCAGCGATTTTAACAGCCACACGGTGGATCCATCCATAATGTGGATCTCGACTCATCTACTAGTAGATACGGAACGCATCAATGGATGGATGGATGGAAGTAGCTAGACTGCGCCATCGTAGTTGGACCGGAAGATGGAGCTGTTCCTGAGGATGTACTGGTGGTACACCATGGCCACGGCGGCGCCGATGAACGGGCCAACCCAGAACATCCACTGGTCGTCCCAAGCTTTCTTGTCGTTGTACACCACGGCGGCGCCAAAGCTCCTCGCCGGGTTGATACCGGTGCCGGTGACGGGGATGGTGGCGAGGTGCGCCATGAGCACGGCGAACCCGATGAGCAGCGGCGCCAGCACCGGGACGTGCGGGTCCCAGGCGATGCGCTTCGGGTCGGTCGCCGAGAACACGGTGTACACGAGCACGAAGGTGCCGGCAATCTCCGCGATGAGCCCCGCCGTCCTGGAGTATCCGGGCGCCAGCTCGTTGGCGCCGCCCCCGTAGAGCGCGTAGTGGTGGCCGCCGTGCACGGCCCTCACCAACGCCGCGCCGCAGATGGCGCCCACGCACTGCGCCACCATGTACAGGAAGGCTCGGGGAAGGGAGACCTTGCGCGCCAGAAGCAGCCCGAACGTCACCGCGGGGTTGATGTGGCCGCCGGAGATGCCGGCGGTGCAGTAGACAAGGACGGCGATCGTGCCGCCGAAGGCCCACGCGATGCCCAACACGCCGGCGCCGCTGCACGCCTGGGCGTCGGTCTGGCGCTTGTGGCCGACTACGGTGGCCAAGGCGACGTAAACGAAGAGCAGTGTAGCTGTGAACTCGGCGATGACGGCACGGTACAAAGACCACTTGCCCAGCTCGCCTGCGTCGACCAGCGGCGCCGGAGGAGGGTCCAGGTAGTCCTTGGCGCTGCCGTTGCTGATGACTTCGTTGTCCATGGCCTCCGGACTCAGCTTGCCCTGTGCTGCTGCCATAGGCATGATCAATCTCCGGCTCTCGGCTGATGAATCAAGGATCAATCGGCAATGATGGATGGAGATTGGGTGTCCATAACCTGGCAAGGATGCATGTATATATAGAGCATGGCCAGCATCAGTGAGCATGTATGGGTGCCCCACCATAGTGCCACGCACCATTTGCATCTTTTTATTACTGCGACAAGTGCCATTTACTACTGGTTTACAAGCCATACCTCTCTTTTTTGTATACTTTGGGAATCAACAAAAGGCGGAGCCAGCAGAGGGATCGGGTGGTCATGGAGATAGGGATAGTGAAAGGATCAAACTGGACCTAGAGGGGTGAATAGGGACAACTACTAATTTACTTTGATTATTAGCAAGTTTAGGCTACGTGGAAAAGTGTGGGCCAAAACAATGCTACGGTGAGATATACAAGTACATGATGCATGCAAGGTCAAGTGAGCAAAGTTAACCACAAGTAAATGAGTTACGGTTAGGAACAACCAAACACCACACAGACGAAGATGTATTCCGATGTTCACTTCCTTGAAAGAAAACTTGTCACCGTCAGAGGGGTAGGTGTTACCATGAAGGTTACCCTCTTATTCTTGTGATATCACCATGAAGGCAATTCTTAACCACTAGTGGTAGACCTTGAGGGGGAGTCCAAACTTTTACAAACAACGGGGTAAGTCACAAGTTGATTCCTCTCCTGGATGCGTGTTATGGAGAGAGGCGGGCAATATATTTCAACAAAGGACAATTTTTGATACAAGACTAGAAATCTATGCCGTTAGTCTCAGCTAGTACAGAGGTTTAGCCCCCTAAGAATAACAATTACTCAATAAACTCAAAGGCGAACCCAAATTCCTTCATTGGAAATATAGACCGGTGGCTCGTCTCTCTTTTCCTTCAAAGGAGTGGAATGATTTGACCAAGGGATGTAGAGGTTATGAAGCTTTTGCGATTTGGAAAATGGGGTATGGGAGCGTAAATAACTGTTTAAATTATAGGTAGTAAAAAGTAAAATAAATAAATAATTACAACAGGTGGAGAATATGAGAATATATCAAAATAACTGTTTAAATTATGTTAGTCGAAATACTTTCATTATCGCACATTGGTGAGATAGTTTTGAGCTGAGCCTTCAAAAGCATTTCATCAACGAGCACAAGCCGTGACATAATTTTTTTTTGCGGGGGACAAGCCGTGACATAATTAACCTCCCTGTATTTGTCCTACGCATTGTCTTTTGATTCCCTGCTCATGGATCTCATTCATCAGATGGGTTGTGTTGAGGCTATTTTCTTTTAGTGGTCTGCATGTGATGATCCAACTATTCCTCTCTTTATTTACTACTCTCTCCATTCCTAATTACTTGTCTATTTGTCTAGATACGGATGTATCTAAACATGTTTTTAGTGTTAAATATATTCGTATCTAAAAAAGTCTAAAGCAATTAATACGGTTGGTGAAAGTGAATCCTTCTCCCCGGCAATCGAGCAAGGACATTGCATGGCATCCATCGACATTGCAGGAATTGTAGAGGGGAAGGGCCAGACACGTACGCTGCCGACTAAAACCACACCAATTTGACGAAAATGCCCTCGGTCAGATCATTAAGCATACAAACGATAGGACAAAGGTACCCGCCACAAAATATGAAGCACACAAGGATTAATGGAGGACGGCGTAAGCTTAATTAGCGAGCTGTGGCATATTCCTGGATGTGTACGTCGTAGATCGGTATATGCATGCGACGCAGCATGGATGGACGGATGCAACTGGAGAACCCCTTCCGTTCCACAATACATGCCTTTTATTTGTCAAAATATAGATGTATCTAGACATGTTTTAGTGTATAGGTACATCCATTTTTAGACAAATGGAAGTCAAGTATTTTAAAACGGAGGGAGTACATGCGTGCAGCTGCCGGCACTATGCTATGCATGGCTCCCCGTGCTGTGTATTCCGGATGAACATGACTCTCCCATTCATGGGTGTTTTGCCAAATAAATATCCAGCGGTTGTTTTCTTTTTTCTTCCACCAACGGTCAACTTTTTTGTCTGGCGTCCAGCTGTGAGTTGCTAGCCTTTTTTTCCCACTGCTTCGTTTTCATAATCGCCGTACAAGTGCTTCGAAGGATGGCACCCTCAAATGTGACTTTGCCGACATGCTTAGCCGGTCATCGACAAGGAACCAGAGGATTACAACAAGTTGAAGCAACCATCACTCGAAGCCTCAAATTTGCTGCTCTTGGTGACATCACATGATCTGACCTCCTAAGTCCCCATCCATCACTTCGTTTCGAGAGGCATCGCTTTTGGAGAAACAATTTCGCAGTTGGGGTGCTGCCACCAGGGTGGTTGATGTTGCTACATGACTATTAGGATCATGCCAATTGTTTTCATTTTTGTAAATAATTTGATGTGTGCATGATTCATGTCTTGACTAGCTCTGGAACATATTTTGTTGCAGAGGTGGGATGTACTCTTGATATTCATATGTTATCGTTATAAAGAGAATAAGGAGCAACGGTAACCACCGGACACAGGGCGAAGAACATGGTGATCAAGGTAGGATTTTTTAGCACGCCAATGAAAATAGTGGTGATGATGATTTTTGGCATGCCAAGTGTTCTATTATGTAATGACTATTCTTTAAATCATTAACTCCTTTGTACGAGCCACATTCAGTGGTATTGGACATTGGTGCCCGTGTCCCTGGATCGGATCATGAGCTTTAGCTATGTTTTCCTTTTTTGGCCGGTCCAAGCCCTACCGCCGTAGTGTTTTCCATTTGTAGTGTTTCGCATGTGTAATCTCCTGATTTGGTTCTCTGTGACCATCTTTGGCTATAAATAGGCTGGTATAATTGTTTCAACAAAATCATGTTTATGTAATCATTAACTTGGTCTTTTAATACTAGCTAGGTTCAAGCTGTAGAGTGAACAACCGACCTCGAATATATGAACCCAAAAGCTCGATGGAGCATCTCCTTAATATAGGTCTCCCTACTTGTGGGTGTTATACAACGGTGTGGCCAGTGTGCCAAGTAAGTGACTAAGTTGACCCCTCACAAAAAAAATGTACCGACAGAGTTGATGAAGTTAATGCATATGCGCCATGAGTAGTCCAGGCTTAAGGATTTAGATTAGATGACGTAGAATTTCAATATGCAAGGACAAAACAAATCTTTTTTTCATCATATAGACCAATTAAATCATTTGACATAAGAGCAAGTAATTGCAGGCGCATAGCCCGCTTACATGGCACTTTTGCCTCTGCGGCATAGAGAGACATGAACAAATTTGGAGAATGGGCTCCTTATGCAAGAGTCTGCCTCTACACATGCACCTAGGCAAATACAATAAATTTGAAGAAAGAGAAAAGAGAAGGTGGAAAAAAGTACTAGTCTTATAATCTACTTTATAGCCAACTTAACTGTATGATTGATTATAAATGTCGATTTTACATGACATATCAACATGCTGTAATGTTGGGGTATCTATATGTTGTATATGTTGAGGTAGCTATGCTAATTTTATATTTGTAAAATTAATTATCATGTGTGTTAAATGTACCTCATGTGTTGCGTTGTGCTTGTGCAACATGGATGGATGATTAATGGGCTCCCTCAGACTGGTCATAGTGGGAGTAACTTAGATAGTAACATAACACACACAAAAAGAAGTTTGTGTATGTGATATAAGTAGTTAGTGAGGAGATATGTGTTTGTGGTAAATATTTAATGTAACATAACGCAACCCAAAACAAAATAAATCTACGTCTAATAAATGAAGGATTAAGTGACCAGCCTCATTGAATGAACTATTAGCATAAGGTGAAGCTAGTGTAGCTAGGTAGGAGCATGTAGTTCTCTCCGCATCTACAGGACACAGAAGGGATGAGAAGAGACAATTTAGAGACTGGTGATTGATTGTTTGGAACATTGTCATTGGTGCGTGTGAATGAAGAAATGATGGATGGAGGATCGATGATCCATCATGCATGAATGATTGTTTTTGTACTCCCTCCATTTTTATTTACTATGCATATTAGTTTTTGATCAAAGTCAAACTTTATAAACTTTGACAAAGTTTAAAGACAAAAATATTAATATATACAATAACAAATCAATATCATTAGATTCAATATTGAATATACTTTCACATCATATAATTTTTTATTGTAAATGTTCATGTTTTTTCTATAAACTTGATCAAACTTTGTGAAGTTTAACTTTAGTCAAATTTAATATGCAAAGTAAATAAAAATGAAGGAAGTATATAGTTACATGCATACATGGCCTGCTCTGGTCACACACACACACACACGAAGAGAGCGAGAGAGAGAGAGACAGGCACGCACTGCACTGTCACACATGCAACAGCACACACAATAATAGAAACTCATACAGACGCGCATACGGACTGTAGGTACGTTGACAGATGAAGGAGACATGTACACATGCAACAGCACACACAATAATAGAAACTCATACAGACGCGCATACGGACTGTACACTGAAATGTACGTATATGTCGCATGCTAGCTAGGTAGCTGCAGCGTGAATCGATCTGGTCGGCATCGATCCGGTCCCCCCGGAACCATGCATGTGACGTGAGTTCGTACCTTTTTTGTTGTTTTTGCATGGTCACCACCACCTACTACCTACGTACTACCAACGGGTATACATATCTGTATACGTAGATCTTATATTTGAGATTAGAGATAGAGCGTGGAGTGCCACCCGTGCATCCAGGAGGCAAACTTAATTTGTACCAGGATCCATAGGCAGGAGTCTCCATCCATAGTCCTTACTGTGTAGAAACGAATGATGTATCTATCAATCTATTATAAATATACACATATCCGATCAATATGATATATCAAGAAGAGTTTACTCACTGTATGTACGTTGTCGTAGAGCAGCTAGCATACATGCATGAATAATACAACCAGCGGCAGTACCTAGCTAGACGCTAGTCTGCCGACATCGACATGCATACTTACGTGGC